TAAAATACTCCGCTGCGCGTCGTATTTTCAACTCTCTTCTCGGTGTTTGGAAATGTGGTCAAACACGGTCTTTCGTGTTTGATATATTACGTAAAATATTCAAAAGTATTCAGCATGTATTTAAGTCTGTATAGGGGCCAAGCAGCCCATCAGGCTGGAGCTTACCTCCGGTTTCAGTAGCAAGAAGGGACTACAAGTATTTCTATTCCCCCCACCCCCAGATGGGTTGCTAGTCCTTGAAGTATTGAAGTTGAAGTTGAAAAAAAAAAAAAGAAAAAAAAGGTCGATTCTAATAGGACATTCCAGAGGTATTTCGAGTCTGGCGTCCTTGATTAATTCATCATATTTCGGTATGCCCGGCGTGCGCTCATCGACCCACGTAAATACTTCCTTGCTTCCTTACCTAAAATACTTCCTTGTTTATCTCTATCAAAAACCGTTCAATCGCATCTACAGACCTTCGGGAAGTGTTAAACTGGTTTACAAGGGGAATTTTTTGTTAAGTCATTAATAGCAAAACATGGAGGTCACTTCCTCCCAGAATTTTACTTCTGTTTTACATCTGTTAATAGGGAGTTTATCTTGAAACTGATTATGGAACACAGCGTAAAATTCGAAAACAATCATAAATTTTAAAAGTTATCCGACGAGGTTCACGTTCCCTACACAACGCAGAATTTGGTCATTTCACGTTATGGTTTTACAGAGGACGGCAAAGAAATGTACCAAGAATTATAACGCACGTGCACAGCCATTGTACTACTCATTAAACCTTTTGTTTAGCGACGTTCCCGTTGCCAGTGAAGTTGTGGTTTTCTTAAAACCCTCAATGCTACCTAAGCACGGCGAGGATTATGCGTGAATGGATATTTACATCTGTTAAGGTTTGTAGGTGATCCAATCGAACGGTTTCTAGTTAGAGGTTATTTCGGGAAGGACGCCATTGTTGAATTAAAGAAAAAATCTAACCGATCAAGTCACGTGTTTCCAAAGCCACCTTTCCCTCGTGCCAAGGCCCCGCCGCTGAGAGGTACAGGCGACACTGGTGACGAGAATTTCCCTGCTAAAAAGAAGAAGAGATAATTCCTGGTTCCGAGGTTGGACCTGCTCCTGGTCTGTATTCTGAATTTTGCTCACGTTCTTCAACATACAGTCTGCTTTTTACCATACATTGACGAATGTTAAATTTATTTCAATTATTCCATGAAAAGTAAACTCAGCCTGTTTTTTCTTCATGGGAATAATACGTCAAAACGAATTCGACAAAACCCAGAGTAAAAATGTTACGATTCACATTTGCTACTGAAAAACACTGCCTTCTTTAACCATTTACTATCGAAATGCAGAAACATATCATAGTTTGCCGCGCACCTCTATAGATCCATATAAGTACAATAATTTGAAAAGTATAACAAGTAACTAAATACTAACAACCAAATTTGCACAACAATTTGCAGATTACATCTGTAAACACACACGCACACTGAGAGTGCTAAAACAAATAACGAGGTCTGGAATCTTCTTTTCGTCTATCTTAAGCTTGTTTTTCAAAAATTCAAGATAAGGAGTGAAAAAAGGATCTTGTTTCTTGGCGGCAATATAGATGTATTGTTTGGCCACAAGACAACAGTAGTTAACGCCTAGAAAAGAATGTATTTGCGTATTGTACCTTGGAACTTCTGCAGTGTCGTGATTTTGTTCACGAGAAAAACAGTTGTGGTCCACGCTTTACACCTGCATGATTCCACATAAAGCAGTATCTTATTTACTAAATTTAGTATGGTACAAAATATTGTTAATTTAAGAACTCCCACGATTCAAATATCTCGAAGAAATTTCAGTTCAGGGAAACGTGACTTGGGCTAACTTAAGTTCTTTGTCTCTAAAAGGACTGACCGTGGAAAAATTTATACGATAGTGGGTTGCTAATTGAATCCTGCAGAAACGAAAACGCAAATTTAATATCTGCTAAACAAGATGTCAGGTTAAAACCATGACACCATTTAAGGGAATTCCGTTTTCCATTTCACTGATATCATATTTACACCGCAGAAACCTGGAAATAGCCGTCGTGTAGTTGTTGTTGTAGGGTTTCCTTTTAACTCTGTCCCTGGGTTACAATTGATGACGTTTATGATCAATGTAACAGATCTGCTCTCTTTTAGTCCAAGGCTATGAAATAATACAACTTTAGACCATACTAAAGATATAAAAACGTTACTGTCTTTGTGTTTACTTGCTCTCACGATTTCGCAACTCCATTTGCCTTCACTGAAAAACTGACAAAGCTTGCTACTAACGTAATTTTGAATTAAAAGTATTTGGACAATTTTATTTGATATTTGCACTAGGCGTAGTTGGCCTATATATTATACACGTCTGTGTGACGCGGCGAGGCGCGGTGTCTGTTCCAAATTGTGTCTCACGGGCTTGGTTACGAACACAGCTACGCCAAAACAAACCATAAACAGTGTGCACTCAAATACTGTCAAATACTTTACAGAGAAATCGAAAACCGATTTGAACAAATGTCACAGATGCACTGGCATCTTCCCTGCGGCTCTAACCGAGAAATAGTGAATTGCATATAACTTTTGGCAATGAAAAATTACCGACTAAATTTTTGTGGCCTTTCATGTGTAAAATAACTTTCCTACACCACCCACCAACGGATGTATTACGTCCAAAATGACTCACTCTCCCTCCCAGCGGAAGGAAGGACATGCGTAAAAGAATCTAAACAAAGAAATGAAAATTGCGAAAATTTTCTCGTTACTTGGAATCAAGAAACAATTTTCGGCCAGTGCAACATGCTACATTTTGCCCTCGAAACAAGGAAAGGCTTACAAGTTGTAGAATAACGATGTTTTTCTTTAAGAAAATAAGACTGTTTTTAAGCGATATGCAGCATTCTACATTAAGTATATTATCTCTCATCATAACAAATAGTATTTTAGTTCAATGTTGTAGATTGGGGGTAACGAGGATTCACTTAAATCGCCGAATAAAATATCTGAACTGACATCACCATAGTATTGGGCACGCTCTGATAAGTTTTTTCAATACTGCTTTTGTTGTTTTTTTTTTTAATGTTTCCACGCACAGGAAAGCAAACGAGTTATTAAAGCATGCTTTGCACTAATCCTTGTGTCTGTTCCTGTAATTTCAAGACTGTTAAGCTGTCTGAAACGCTAGGACAATTAAAAACCAGCAAACTAAAGGAGAGCGAACGTTACGAAGCTGACAGAGATTTGCTGTTATGCAGTGCAAATAAACTACACAATACTAAGTGGAAGCTTCATGTCGCCCGCTGTATGTTAATTTGCGCTGTGCTTGAACTGAACGCTTTGCCATCAGTTTGTCTTTCTGGGAAGTCAAATTGCGAAAAAGCGCTTAAACATCCTTGTTTTCAACCCGTTTTGTCTCTTCATCACGCCTTCTTCCTTTGTTGCTAATCACTTTGAGAATAATGTCATTCCAGCAGCCAAAGTGTCGCAATTATGTCAGCCTAACAGTTCTGTATTACACAAGACTAATAAGTCAACACTTTCAGAGTTTAACGACCAACTGAGTCTTGCAAGATTACATCTCATTTCCGCTTAATTAAGATAACTTCTAAACGACAGTACTGTGAAGTGCTCTTTGTTGTAAAGCTCTCCATCCAGCCGCAAAATGACCGCTGTCTCGCAAATCAGCATGTAAAAATATTTTAGCCAACATCTTAACGGTGTGTGAGCACGATTTCATCGCTTTAGTGAGCACAGTAATCGATCCAGCTTTATCAAGCACCATAATCGGAAAGAACACTTTTTATTTATGGTTGTTGAGTTTGCCAAAACTAAACAAATATTGGTTTTTTTTCCGGAACACTTATCGCATATTTTTAGCAGGTTATTTCGGAGTAAGTGTACGGAATATATAAATTCCTGCGTGGCATCAGCAGTAGCAGACTGCACTGTGGCTTATGTCGGGCGTGCACGTGAACAATATAGGGGGCGGCTATAAAATCACAAATGAACCACTTGGATACTTCAGTAATCAGTGCTACATTCAGCAACCACACCGGCGGCCCAACGATTAACCCTGTCGAATGACAAGCAGAGTGAACTAGTGCCAAGGATTCCCGCAGAGATCTCCAATGAATTCGTTCAACTTCATTTTACTTTTAGTGTGCTTCACACCAGCATCTCTTCAAAACGGAGCCGAGCTTACCCATTTGCAAAACGATTTATTGAACTTGTTAGAAATTAAAGAAAAGCCGAGCGTGTCAAGAAGCAGGTCTCAAGTGCCTAAATATGTCATGGACCTCTACAAGGAGCAAGCTCATCCGAGTAGTTATTCAAAGTTTCGCAAGTCAGCTCCTGGTAAAACGATAAGAACTTTCTTTCGAGGTATGTTATCATTCCTACCACAAGATGCACGCGCAAATGAAGCGTAATTGCGTAAATTATTATTGCACTACATAAATATTATGATAATTTGTCAACGTCGCCTTTCATTTCTCACTGCAGATCCGAAAGTCGGCCGTGCAGACGAGCGACATTTCTACTTCAACTTATCCTCGCTTCAACCGGACGAACTAATAAAGAAAGCGGAGCTCAGGGTATTTAAAAGACGTTCTAAGCTGGACAACACACACGGCCATTTCAAGGTGACAGTGTATCGTTTGAACCGTCGACCTGTTGAAGGAAGCAACAGTTGGAAGCGAAAGCTAACTACAGTCGATACCAGATTTGTCAAATGTCGTCGAGTTGGCGCCTGGATCGTTTTAAATGTTACCTCCGCGGTAACGTTTTGGAGTTCTTGGCCCTCGCGAAACTTCGGCCTGTGGATCACTGTGGTCGGGTTTGGAATTCCGACTTCGGATTTCGACATTGCAAGTGGCGGTAGAAAAGAACCTATCTTGGTTATTTACGGTGATACCAAGGAGAAAAAGCAAGGCAAATCACTGAAATCTGTCAATGAGATTCCAAACGAAACACGGGACATCGGCGACCAACACACAAAACGAAAGGGAACAAACAAGGACGATAGTCCCTTTTCAAATACAAGAAGCCGAAGATCAGTAGATGATGACAAGTGTGCAAGACGCAAACTGTTTGTGAAGTTTCGTGACTTAAGTTGGGACAAATGGATTATAGCGCCTCGAGGATTCAGCGCTTTTTACTGCATGGGTAGATGTCCAGAAATCATTGACAAGGTCTACAATCCATCGAACCACGCCATCATACAAAGCCTGCTTCATCACCGCCATAATAAAGACATCCCAGCCGCTTGCTGCGTACCAACGAGTTTACACTCTATGAGCTTGATGTACTTTGAATTAGATGGCAGCATTGTACTCAAAGAATACTCCGGCATGGTGGCGTCAACGTGTGGATGCCGTTAAAACAGTAGAGCAAAATCAGGCCCGAAATTTCCAGTACATTAAAATGAAAACATAGAGAACAAATTAAGTGTCAAAGAACATATTTATATTGATAAATGGTGTTTAGCACCCTAATACGATATTGGAAGATATAGTGAATAAATTTGAGTAGAGTCTTAAGCGACCCCAGGCAGGTTCGCAGCTGTGGAGCAAGATATAGTTTGACTATTTTCATTCCACTTATACTACTCGCTTGTAGCACACGCTAGCTAATGGCGCGTTTATAATACGCTTAAATGAATTCTTCAATTTCTGAAAAGCGTTCAGTTGTTGAATAGTATAAGAGAGGCTATAAATGGCACAGTCCACGCCATTATGACCAATAAACAGCCTCAATCGCCTCCTTCTGTTCAAAGACAATTTTATTTATTTCCGGCGAGGCACTATGCCGCCGTCTATTTCGCGAGAAATTTGCATGAATTTCAGACTTGATATATCACGCTTGTGTAAGCATGAATTCAATAAATTTAGATGCGCAAAACTTGTTCCGCTATCACGTACTGTTCTTACTTTGCACTCTTTCTCGTAGTTTTCGATGTTGGCGCAGGGCACTTTACCTATGTTGTTTCTACTCAGTTTAGGAAAACCGCAATTTTCAGTGACGGACTTAAGGCATTGTTTGAAACATTTACACTTGACAGTGAAGAGCAAATTGTTGACTAAGGATATCGTGCAATGCTTGTCTTCTGACGTCTTGTTGGTGACTTAACTAATATTTCAAGAGGTGAAAATAAATGGGAGAGAGGTTGTATTGGCAGTTCAAAGGAGTTCCTCAAATAAATATTGTTTTATTCTAAGGAGGAGACTAGTATTTCAAACAATTCAGTCCAATGTCCTGTGCGCAAATTCCGCTGATGTACTTACGCAATTTTGTTTACTCCAGTTTGAGAAAGGTCTGTTAATCAGTGGCAATTAACAGATAATTATGTTACGGTATTTGGAACACATGATCTGAACGGTTGTTTCAGGGTGTACGATTTGAGCAAAAAATCCCCTAGCCACCGATCAAACATACATGAATTATTTCATATAAACTTCACATCATAAATTTTAATGCTGTCATTTATCGAACGTTACTTTTCAAAGAATAATGTCAGGGTGCGGTATAATTTTCTCAGTTTATTCAACATGCCGTTAAACAAATATACGAGTGGATGGTTGGTCGGTGATAAAAATAGCCCGCCTTGCCTGAAGCATTGTTCACAAAGGATACAATGTCGTTTTCGACTTGTATTATTAAACAATTAAATATGCATACCAGGTTGACAACATTTTTTGTCTGTGGGATTAATGATTGAACCTCGGCTCTCTTTTCAAGAGCTCCTTTTGTCTTGCATCCTGAAAGCTATTCTCTTATGTAACTTCAAATGAATTTGAAAGCAAATTAAATGCTGCTTCAGATGCTTCTAGAGACATTAACGTTGAGTCATGTTAACTGCTTCAGGTCCTGATCATTTCTGATAATCGTAAATCGCTATTAATAAATTCTAATGTGGTTTCCCAGAAATTAACTGACGACGTCAAAATGTACTTATGTATTTATTTCCTTTTCGCATTAATGAGGATTATACAAGTGATTAATGTGCAACTGGCAAGTTTTTGGATATGTTTCGTCGGTTTTCTTTACTCAACGCCAAACAGTAGAATAACCTCAACGTATGGTGATTTAAATATATATGCAGCGAAAAACGTGTAAATAGTATCATGTTGTTGGGGTAAAGAAAGTTCCACATCAATTACGTTGAATACATGAAGGCAGGAGAACTGCGACGCTGTTATAATACTCATTAACCTTTATTCTCTCAGTACAATAACACAATACTTATGTATGCGGCAACGATTGCATAATATCTATGCCAGAGACTACATACAGAGAAATAACGCTCTTTACTCCAGTTCTTATCTTGTTACGGAGTTATTTGTAACCTTAACGTCGTGTTGCAAACGAGTAAACACAAAGTTTATTGACGTGATCGTTTGATTAGTGTTCATTCACTGTGGGTTAATAACAGAACAGACGAAGGGCGGCTGGAATGATGCGATTCAAACAATTTCATCGGTTTATTTAGTGGAACGCCAAAAACAGCAAAAAGAATTACTTTTGATTGAATACTTTACAAATGGCTTCCACTGTATTGGTCAATTCATAAGATCGATTTCTAGAAAGCCATCGAAATCGGTCAGCATTGGATCAGACGCAATTAATTTGTGTCCCAATTAAGCACGAGACAAGGCCACAATCTTCAATGATGTAAAAGGGAGGATGTTTATTATTATTTGTTATAAGAGTTGCCTGTTAAATGAAGATTGTATTGAACAATATTCAACTAGTTTATTATACCATGGACTTTACGAAGGCCAGTTAAACACATTTGTGAATGAATGAATGAATGAATGAATGAATGAATGTTTTAGAATCCAACAGTGTCCTGTTTTGTACGTGCAATTCGTGCATAAATTAATTAGTGGAAAATCAGGGAGGCTAAAAGACGTTATTAAATATATTGTTAGTTGATAGCAATATATTTGCTAATGACTTTTTTAATTATTTAATCAAAGAAGGGCGCTAAATATCTGTTACTACATTACTTTCCGTAATCTTTGCACGTAAATGACAGAGACATTGTGCAAGGACTATTTTTTTTATTTCACAGAAAAATAAATTCAATTTTGAATACGTAGCATATTGACAGCTAAAATTACAGTGTCCAAAATTGAAAGCACCAGTATTTGAACAAAAGTAACAACACATTTGATGAGTACGTTTAAAACGTTAGCTAAGGCCACTATAAAACAACAACGCACAATTCAGTTAAGTCTGTTTACTTTGTCTGTTTACTGTTTACTGTGTCCTCGTTTTCGAAAAACTGTCCCAAACTGTTATGTAGAAACTATTTCTTCGATGAATTCCAATGGATCTTTGAAAGGAAGTTTAACTTCTTCGCTCAAACGTCCGTTAACTAAACCCACCTCCCATCATAACCACATGACGCCTCCCGTCACTGCTGGTTTTAGAAACATACGCAGAAGTAGCAACATCCGGATAGTTAGTTTCTTTTGTTAAGAACAGAAAGCATACGTTACTTAACAGCTCCTTGCTCCGTCCACGCATGTTTCTTACGGTTATGCGCTGGTCAAAATCAGCCTTAAAGCGGGCTCACGAGCCACGTTGCATGCATTAAACAAAGGGCTTGACAAGCCAACTTTAATGTCACCACTAAGAACTTGAGAGATTATTTGCTGTTAAGTCTTTGTTAAATATCAGGTTGTTGGCTGACGTCCGAAAAAAGACCTCTGATTTTCAACAATTTTGCGTTGTAAATTTTCCGAAGGCATTTCGCAGGTATTTATTTCGCGAAAGTAGTCAGTGGCGACGTGAAACAACGTAACTTGCAACCCAAGTATTCCAGCGAGCACGCAAGACAAACACATAAATAGAAAGAATACAATTTTCGTATCTAGTTTCCAGTCTGTCTCTATCTAAGTCCGTGATGAAGGCAGCTCCGTGAGTCCTCGTTCTATAGTGCCCAGGTCCTGTAGGTCGTCCTTGATAATTGTTATGAGATGCAGCAGACCCACTTGTTGACGCTCGAGATGCTGTAACAACCAATAACTGTTTATATACCTGACCACCATAGTACCATTATCTAGGCTCTGGGCTTTGTTTCTAAAGCTAGTGACGAATAACTTTGAGAGGAATGCGGAGCCACTCGAAGTGGTTAACCCTACGTCATACAAGCCGTCGTGACGTCAGCCATGTCAGAACAATAACAGGTAGGTATTGCACGGAGCCACATACCCGGAAGCTGGGTTTGTTATGCCTTTGTCTTGTATCTACTTTGACCCATTCAACTCATTTATTTTACTACTGTACATTCAGTTTTGCGCCACTAAAAATAACTCCTTTCAATATCAATTGACTTTCAGTTTGACGTGGGAAGACAGGATTTAAACACTTTTCAATATTGCTCTAGACTTGATAAGAATCATTTGCTGCAAACATTTCTTACTTGTTTTAGTTGCTCCTGCATAACACCTTCCACTACATATCTGCCATCTACTCGCCCCAGTCTCTCGCCAGCTTGGCTCTGCCGCAAGCGAATCTGTGACATCATCTCATTTAGACGAGCCTATAAAAAAAACAAAGCAGTGTTAGCTATACGTGCATCGTAGGAAAAGGTTTAATTTTAACCCGTAAAACGATAATCAAGACGTTTCGAGTGTTTGTCCGTTTTAATACAGAACTGACATCAAAAATAACCTAAAAGCCTTCTCAAAACTGTTGAAACACTTCAGTTTTCACACATTTCGTCCCTCTCCACCACTGCGCAATGTTGAAAAAACACTTTGAACGGACACATGAATGTAGTTTGCCATTTTCCAACATTGAAAGAGGAAATGGTGGAACTAGTTGTTATGATTGTCATTTGAAATGTTCAGTTTTAAACTTAGTATGACGAGGCTTGTATAACATGAACTGATTCATCCGATCTACCCTTCTTTTAGGAGATTATTGATGGCCCTTGTCCCCAGCACAAGAGTAAACGAAATTCCTTATGCTTAGCTTGTGCTTATCAGATTATTCCTGATTGAGCTTGATTGTTACTGGCCCGTCAGGCAGGACTGAGACTTTTTTCAATGATCATGCCTGGGACATAGTTGTATTGGAAATGAAATGCGTCAATTTCAGTGCATCAAAACATGTCAAACTTTTAACACTGTCTCGAGGTTTAGGGGACTAAAGCAAAAGAAATCATTCATTTACGCATCAATTTGGATGCGGCTTCTTTTGCTTCAGTTTCCCTAGCCCCCGAGCCTTCCTTGGCGTATAACTTAGTCTGGTTGATCTACAACTTAACAGTGCCTAAAACAACTCTGGTTAGATTTATCGTTGTACACGTTAGTCTGATAAACTGAAAGTTTTTCAGTTTGTCTTTGACCAAAGTTTCATTAAACAAGTTATTTTTAGAGGTGCGTTTTCCACCTGTAGTTATTTTAAATACTTGCCTTGAACTGTGAAGGCGCGTTTAACTCTGCCTGCAGGCATTCAAGTTGCACTCTGTCAATCAATGATAAAGGAAAACAAAACACAGAAAAACGTGAAGTGAACACAACGACCTTAAAACAGGAAAAATATAATCCAACAACACCTTTAAACAAATTTTCCCTCAGCTCCTAATTATATGTGACCAGGCTCATCACATTTGAACATAATTTTTAGCAAGAAAACGCAGGTACGGTACGTTTTCTTTAAACTCAAGAATACAAAACCCAGGAACTTTAAACGTTGGATGAAGCAAGGAAAGGTGGAAGTAGTAGCTAACCTGAGCTGCTCCTCGTCTGCTTGCACAGAGTAACCACTCTTTCTAACACATTCTTGTTTTATCATGACCTGAAACAAAAAATTCATATTAAAGATTACTCAACATCAACATATTGCTTCGATTGTCATTTCATGTCAGATAGAACTAGACCTATCTAATCCACGCAGGACCATTTTATTATAGAAAAGCACAAACGGCAATAATCTGAAGGCTTAAATACAACTGATGTCTTTTCGTCAATTTCCGTGATAATGCATCCACTTTTCTGGAGAAAAGCACCTTGCGTTAACATGTTGTCAACTCCTAAGCATCGATTTAGCGCCTGTTCCAGATGTTTGGTTTATAGTTAGGGAGCTGCACAAAGAACGGGACTGGTGCGAAGAACAGGTTTAACAAAGCGAGGTTCCCCTTCGCCCGCACAAACCGAGAGCCTGGCGCAGGCTAGAAAGCATTTCAGTCGGCAGTCTCTGGGTAACTACTGATAAAAGACACTTAAAAGAACTAGTTTTCTCTTTTGGATGATAATCTATTGTATCATTTGAAGACCTATCGAGCACTAGCCTCCAAATTTAAAGAGACAGGCCTACGTAATTTTTAATAAGCTTTCCCACTTGATATAAGCAGAAAAACACCATTTTAATTTCTGCACACTTTTGCATTTGAATTTCAGTGTAGCATTTATCAGAGTAATTTGACAGCAAGCATCACCTCGAGTATTCTATGGCTTAATTCCAAGTGTTTCCTTTTGAACTGCGCCAGTTTTGCCATTGTTGTAGCGTGATTATGCCGAAGATCGGCAATCTCTTCACTTATAAGCTGAAAGAAAAAAGGAAAAAAAGAGAACCTGGTGTAAAGAGGCTAACATAACAGTCGACAATAATATCGACTTGTCGTGCATGTACTGGTGCCAGTTAGGCTGGGGTGTCCACTACCTTGGGATGGCGACCATACAGTCTTGAAATAGAATGTATAAGTATCTCAAAACAAGTTTATGTTCAGTTTTCTGGAAAGGTTCCATAAATTAAACTTAAACGGAATAACGTAATTTAAGGAACGTGCTGTACACTGAAAACAGAATGCTTTGAAGCATATTCATGGATATGATTGCCAGGCACCTTAGCTTTGAAACTTTAAAGGTCGGCACACACGAGGGGACTAGCCCCTGCAACTAGTTCCCTGAAGAGCTTACAAGAAGGGACTGGTCGCAGGGATTTGTGCTACGAACAGTTCACTCAAAGCGTTTTGAGGAACAAAAGTCGCAGGGACTTGTCCCAAAAATTTATTCCAGTTTGAATTCGTGGGACTAGTCGCAAGGACCAAATTTTAGTCCCTGCGACTAGATTTTGAAGCAAAAATGGCCAGTTCACACGATGGGACTTGTCCCCGCGACTTGTTGCAGGGATTAGTCGCAGGGGCTAGTGCCCTCGTGTGCGCCGACCTTAATGATCGCGTAAACAACAGCGTTCGGCAAGCGCTTTTGCAGCGTTAAGGCCGGTTAGTTTTGCTGCACTGGAGGTGTGGTGGCTTAATCGTTAGCAGTAACTTACGGCTAGCCTCTTCTGATGTTGTAATGTCTCCTGCTCTTGAAGCTTTTGTCGTTTTTTCAGTTCACTGAATCCCGTGATTGTTGTTGGAATTAATCTAAAGATAATGATTAAATCAAACAAGGTTTCAGTGCGTCACACAGGTGTTATTAGCCAATGTGTTAAGCATTACTTACTGCTGGTCCTTCATACCGTAATATTTTTATGATAGGTAGGTTGCAGTTGAGAAGGCATCAAATGCCGGAAGAATAGGATATTTATGTACTCTAGGATTGGACTTATCTGTGATTTTTAACTGAAGTTTGAAAAAAAAGCACTGCTATCCTTTTAAAAACGCACTGCTGTTCCCCCTCCCCACCCAAAGCAATGTTGAAACTCAGGAGAAATTGCAGGTACTAGTCTTCAAGATTGTATCTGAGGGGGGGGGGGAGGGGGGGGAAGAGGTTAGGCAGGTGAAGTTGTATTTGCATCTGGTGTGTGCGCAAAAGTACCAAAAGTGCAAATTTATCCATTTGTCCATGGTTGCACGCCACTGAGGGGGTAATATCATTAAAAAAGAGTTCGACAGCATTGGTATTTGAAAAGATCCTGCATTAACCTCCATCAGAAGCTACATCAAGGTCCAATTTGTTTACAGAATACGAAGTAACCTTTCAAACAAGAAGGTTTGCGAAAGATTCTCGTCAATTACCTCTGTGGATCGGGGTTGTCCTTTTTTGCCTGCTCCCAAAGAAGAGAATCTATTCCTACAAGAAAAAAACAAAACATCAACGGAAAAAAAAACTCCGATATATATAACAAGAGCTGGCTGGCTTGTAAAAGCTCTTGCTACAAGAGTTAAAACAACAGGAAGGTGGAGAACGAGGAGGCCATGCCACACATGACGCATTAGTGTTGCTGAGATGAAGAAAGGACGCCACAGTTAGCCCAACCTGGTACAACTTACCCCACAGAGTAAGATAGGGAGCCGGGGATTGTAAGCAGCCTAATTCCCCTCTACGGAGCAGACAGGCATTGGAAAAATAGTAAGCGTTCTTATTACAGTGACAAGCGGTCTTGCCATTGCCTGTTGTTTATGTTAATAGGAATTTTCAAATACCAGGGGATTACATGTAATTCAAAATTTAGGCACTTTTGGTGCTTTGTAATAATTAATACTGAAGTTCAATGACAAAAAAAAAAAATACTGCTGCAACTTTATCTTTAGTTCATCAATTCTCAAAACAAGTCACAGGTAAGGTGTACACTAACCAGCCGGAGGGTTATCCAGGTACTGTTGTAACTGAGATGGTGACAGACTTGTTTTCATCAAAATATTCACAATGCCAATTGTCTGAAGCTGAGCCTGTTGAAAATAGCATTTACAGAAATATTACTATTGTAAACCAAATGGATTAAATGACAGTTGAATAAAGCAGGTATTGTGTTGCAGATACTACAGCTGGGTGCGTTTTTCTTGTGTTTGTTGTATAGGTATTGAACTTCTATTGCTTCACATCAGTGGTGATCATTTCACCACTGAGCTTTCAATAAAACCTGTTTGCAATCCTAACAAACAGGATTACCGACATTGGACAGTACTGTGAAGTGAAAACTAATTAAAAGTGACTGAGGTGACTGCCAAGAGTATCTTTGGTAAGTAGAATTAAAGAACCTTTTCATACAACCATCTTTACCTTGATGTTGGTCTGGTTAAGATGCGTGAAAACATCAGTGGCTGGAACAGTTCTAGAGGAACCATTTGGATGTCTTTCAACAACATACATAACCACTTCTGACCTGAGAAACACAAAATAAAACATGAATTCAAAATAATTACTACCTATAATTAAGTACCAAGATATTTAGGGAGATATTAATATGAGGTAGGATGACCAAGTGGTTAAAGCAACAAACTTGAATTGAGAGGTCGCAGGTTCTGAAGAAGTGCTAAAAAAATACCTACCTGTCATCTGGCAGAGGTTTTATCCCTTCTATGCACACCATCAAGGTCGGTTTACTTCCTAGACACTTGTGTAGTGCATCCACAAGTCCCTGCTGCACAGCACGCACCTCACTTTCTTTCTTCTTTATCTCAAGAGATAAATGGCCATCCTCATTGCTTGCAACAGGAAGACGACTGTAGCCTACAACCTTCAGGCAGAACACATTCCTTACCACACTCAGTTGTATTATACTCAAGCCCTAACTACTCATAGTTTGAAATTGAGACTGCCATGTACATGTATGTAGAGAAGAAACCTGTTAACCCAGTCACAAATGGGCCACAAAAATTTGGCCATATTTAACGGGGTGGGTGTATTAAAGGGGTTCTTTATATAAGAAAATGACTGACTGAGCTTTTGTTCAGACTAGAAAAAATTGACAGTTATGTTGAGGTGACCAGGATATTAACAGGGTGGTCTTAAGGTGGGTTCCACTATACATGTTTAACTTCTTGGAGTTCTGTTTTTGTTATTACTCTTATTTTTATTATGACTTGTTTTTGCCCATCCCTAGATAATAATTATTGATTTTAATCAATTTGCTCAACATGGATTGAGACAAATATGACATGAAAATAAAACTTAATTAAGAGTGATTCATGTTTAGCATACTGTGCATCTATCAGGTTTTGGATGCACACAGGAGTTTCAAGAGCATGAGAGAACTGTAAGAGTTAGTCGAGGCATGTCTGAGAACAACTCTAGCTCAAGTGCTCTCTAAAAGGCCAAGTGCATGCATACTTCAACAGCTTAACAGATAAAAACTAAGCTACATTTAAAGAATATTAACAAAGCACTTTATTTACTTGTTTCTGTTGGCTTTCCATAGTAATTTTAAAAAACGAACACTGAAATCATTCATGCCTTCCTGACAGTTTGTTCAGTTTATGTAATTTCATTAAAAAAATTTCAGGTTACATAGTCGATAAAGCCCTACTTTGTAACATGTTAGCCATTATGTGTATGATACGCAAATTAATTTTCTTTTTAGTAATTTTTGTCATTATAAGATTTAAGTTTCCTTGGTCATATGTTGTGTTAAACTTACTTTAAAACGACAAAATGGATTTTGAGGTGTAAAGTCAACTGCTCCTTGTTGGTTGTAGAACCCTTTGCCAGTTCCCCAGTATGCCTGCAGTTGATTCAACTTCGCAATAATGCCATCTCTCTCATCACCATATATCTGAGGCTGAGATAAAGCAGCTGTTAACAGTGTCAGGGGTGCAACCTGTTGGCCTGCAGGTGCTGCTGACTGGGTTCTCTGCTGTGAAAACAAACCTGACAACAAAACAGAAAGTCCTCAAAACGAGGCTGTGAACTGCTTCATTTTATTAATACTATTACTTGCTTTGTATAGGCTTAAGACTGGTTTCACAAGCACATAAGCACGAGCATAAGCAGACATTATATGCAGATGCAGTAAGATGTTGATAGTTAGCAACTTTTGTTATGGAAATTTCTCAACAAAAAGCACTACTTAGCTGCACTCCACTGTGTCTGCGTATGTTTCTTATGCTTTTGCTAATGTGCTAATTAGTCTTCAGAAATCAAATGACAAATAATTTAGAGATACAATGTTTCAAGTGGAAAACCTTGCGTTGCACCTCCCTCATAATTTATCAGAATATATAATTATATGAAATAGTAGAAAACCATTACAATATTATTATATAACACCATGAGAGACTTTCACAATTTAACTTCTCTTCTTTAAAACAGTACTGGTAAACCAATTACCAGTATAATAAATTTTATCATTGATCTTGGAACTCATTGTGTTAGTAAAAATTGTACCTGTAGTGCGTTGCTGACCAAAGGTGGAAGTACCAAGCCCCTGAGCTGCGCCAAAGCCAGTAGTGAGAGTTCCTCCAAGTGACGGAGCCGTGCTGGAAATTGCTGTACCAAAACCTTTCAAACAAACAAAGCTTAATAAAATATCAGACACTTCAGGCACTCTGATACATGTGATCCTTGAGTCGAGAAATCAAGTGGTTACTGGGGTTGATGTAGGAAAATAAACAGTCAATGATTGCATACAAGCAAGTTTTTGCTATCAATATGACTGGTCCTTAAGGTTATTGTACATGTAGACCTCCAGTAAATACTGCAATATTGAAAAAAAAAAATCGCCCAATATTACAACACTTCAATGAAAATTCAAAACTTGATGTTATACCGAAACCACTACATAACTCTGTACATGTATGTCAAGTTTAGAGCATCAATAACATGGAAATAAAAATTAGGAATTTGTTAATGAATGTTAAGTCAGGTTTATTTATTTATTTATTTTAGGATTCGTACAAGTACAGGTGCTTAACAATAGGACATAAGTCTCCCACTTGGTTAATACACCCACACCCAACCCCCTAGATTTATACAAAATAAACAAAATAAGTAACATCTATTGGCATGTTGGCTACTAATTAACAAAAAATAACTTAATATCCTTTTCTGACTGGAAACTAGAAAAGGTTTGGAAAACGTTGGAGGACTCGGAGGATATTATTAATACTGTCCAAAATGCTAAAAAACCACATCTCACAGGTTTGGAGAATACCGCAATACCACCATTCAAGATTAAAATTACTGAAATACCACAACAAAAAATTGTCCAATACTGTAAACCCCATGTCCTCCTCATTAGCACATGCAATCCTTCAAATGCAAAAATGACAGTGTTTGCTGAACTGAGTTACCTCGCTTTATGTTCACACGTACATGTATGACCAAAGAAACTGCACATTGTCAAATCAGCAGATGACGGACTACAAAAATGTGTGAAGCTTTTTTTGATATTTGTTATTGAATGCTCAGAAAATTTATTTTGACATAGATGAATACATGTAAGTCATTTTGGCCAAGTTTCTTATAACTCTATCAAATCTACATACCCTATTAATTTGCTTGAAGCAAGAGAATCCATGCAAAAATGAAGCCTGAGTTTTTGGCTCCTTAAGTTTTGCAAGCTTATCACGTCTCCTCGAAGAAGTTGTCATTACAGTCATACCACGGACCAATAAAACACAAGCCCGGAACTCCCAAAGATACCTTAGGGTACTATTCTTTCAACCGTTTTTGGAATTTGGTCAAACCATAGGCCTTTCTGGGGCTAGTGCATCAGATCTTTAAAATTGGTTTTCTTTGCACCCTGCTCTGGTATAGCAGAGACCACAAGTTTAAGTCTCAATTACTTTTTATGCTTTGTTTTAATTTGCAAATGTTCACATGAACATGTAAGTTAGACATATGTATATAAAGTACTAAAATGACCTTTTTCATTTTAAAAGGTATTTATTATATTGTCTCATTCAATAAAATTAATTTTTGGAAGGTCACACTGACTTACAAATCAAGGTAAAGATGATGTAAATACATGATTAAGATCTCTTTTGTGGCAGTGAAAAAAACCATGGTGCATTATATTATTAATAATGCACCTTTCAATGTTAGGCCCCAGGGTAAGGGGGCTGGGCATACTCAGGGGGATTTGACATTTTAGCCTATTTTCACGTCAAATTCTTTACCCCGGGGGGAAAACACTGATGTCAAATACCCCTTCCCTGGGGCTAAGATGACAAGATGATATAAAGTACTCTCACTGCTACAACCTTTCTTTTCCGTCTAGTTAAATCCCAAGCTTTATAAAGAGGCATTTCTCCCAAATGCAAGTGCCTTTTAAACCTGTTTAGTCCAACAAGGACTAATATTCAACAATGCAAGGGCAATGAACACATGTGCCCTTGAATAGTGCAGCAATCCCCAGAAGCCCTGGGTAATGTTTTCAACATGGAGGGACTAGTTCCAGGCTCTTGCATGATCTTGTCAAACTTCCTTGTGTTGCGTCAAATCTTTAACTATTCCACACCAATGGGAAAGGAAATACAGTCAAATCCCCCGGGGATGCCCGGCCCCTCTACCATGGGGCTTGACATTGACTGGTACATATATACCTATAGGTACATCAACTATAATACGGCATCAAGTAAGACTAATAAGGGTCTAATAAGCAGACATGTAAACGTAATTTAACCACCCACCAAAAGTGGAAGATGCAGTTGTCTTAGCGCCAAAGCCAAACACCGTTCCAGTAGCCGCTGTAGTGGTTGTTGCTCCAAAGCCGGTCCCAAAACTCGTTGTACCAAATAGAGGTTTGTTGGTTGTACTTCCAACCTGGCTCGCCCCAAAAGCACCAAACCCTGTAGCTGTACTTGATGGAGTCCCAAAACTAAACCCTACACCAGTGGAAGGTTGACTAGTTGCACCGAACAACGACATGTCAAAGCTTCATGTAACCAAACCAGATAACCAACGAGAAATCACAAAAAGGGACAGGCGCTCTAAGCGCGAAGTTCAACGAACCTGCATACGTCCAGCAGCTGTTACTTCATGTAAGCGTTCGTAAGGTAACTCGTTATCTCTCGTAAATTGAAACGTAATCTCGCGGCATCGTCCGAAATATTTTTTCCCCGGTTTATTTTATGGCAACATCTCAGGGAGTTGTGTGTAGCATACTGTTTAGAGAGAACTTCAGGTTCATATGCAATGGATAACAACGAATTAGAAAGGTAAGGCTGAGACTTTCTCACTTTCTCAAAGTCGGCCGAGATTTAAAATAAAATTATCTTTTTTTTTCTTTTTTATTTGCCACTCATCTGTTACAACAGTGTGATATATAAATAAATAACATTTTAGAGTAACAGGAGATCCCAGCAAGCTCATACAAGCTTTTCTAAGGAGATCCCCCTATTATTTATATTAAACATAACTCAACAATAACATTTCATAATATATGGTGGCCATATAAATCTGTGTCCACAAAACAGCAATAATAAAGATAATGAGTTTAAATTTATCTAA